AGTAACTAAGGGAGTGTACACTTTTCAGAGAATGGATGATGATGAATACAAGTGTACTGCTACTTTATCTTATCAATCAAATCATGCGCGTGATGAAAATGCATTAACAAAATATACCTTTAATGATTTACAAGACTTACGTGGACGTGCTCTTTTAATTGCCAAAAGTCCCGTTAGCACAAAGACATCAGATGATGGTGGTAAAAGTAGCGAAATCTCTGCTTTCCATATGAATGAATTTGTTATTCAAGTTGATATGGCACAACAGATAATTAACATGTCTTCGCAGCTTATAGAGCTTGGCCATTTTGACTACCGTGATTTTAAAGTGTCGACAAACTCTACACAAGAAAGCACAGAATTATTACAAAGATTGGCTGAACATTTACAAGAATGGAAAGGCATAGTTAGTGAGGCACAACATGAATATTATTATTTGACTTTCTTTCTAGCTAGACAAATTTTGGCTTTTTATGATTATTTCACGACAAATAATGAAACTAATAAAGATAAATGTGCAATGCTTTTGCGATTGGTCAATGACGAAGCAGAGTTACCACCTATAGTAGACAAACAGATTGACAGTACAGATCATCATCTTGATATTCTTCGTGGAATTGGGGAAAGGTTAAGTGAGATATTTAATGAGGTTCCGGCGAAAAAACGCCCAATAACGGCGGACGTTGAACAAATAATGTCCGATGTGGTTCATCCAGGACAACTATTCGTCGCTGCATGTACTGATAAATTTAGAGTACCCAATATTATAATGAGTTTATATGCTGTTAACTTAAATAGATGTTATCCAGAATCATGGCAATTACTAATTTGTAAAGCATCTACTACGGCAGAAGAGCTATTAATTTTCACTAAACGATGTTTCTTTGCTGAAAAAAATGGATATGGAGATCAATTGTTTTGTATAGCCAATGTAGAGAATCTTGATTTCGAATTGCAATATCAATTAGTAACACACATACGTTCTCATTCTCAACAAGAAAAGCAATTTAACTTAGCTTTAATATGCTGTCGTGAACATGGCCTGCATCATCATATACTTGATCAATTTTCAGAATATGTTCATATAACTAATGGACTTAATGCAATTTCAATGCGAAATATATATAAGGAATTGTGCCCGAATGTATCCACTGTTTCTTCAGACTTATCTGGACAAGGAAAGACCGAATGGATTAAAGAATGTAGTTTTAGAAAGAGTCTAATTCCACGAAGTATTCTAATAAGTGATGGTGTCACTTTTGACAAACTTGTTAGAAAATTATCTGAAACTAAAATCAAGGATTTTGAAAGCTTGCATCTTAATATTATGCTGATAGATCATCCTTACGATGTGAATATGTTCTTATTTGAACTGTTGACGTTTAGAGTGGTATCAAATGGAATTAATATTGCATTTATCCCATCAACAACATTAGTATTTATAGAAGTTGCCTCCACCATGAATCAGTATCTGTTAGATTCATTACCAATTACTGGGTATCTTGCAAAAGAACATTTAACTTGGAACATTAAAAACCTCGCAATTTCTTACAATTATAATAGTCCAATTCAAATAGTTGCAAAATACTTGGATGCATATGATCAAGATATAATCAATCAAGAAAATATTGATTTTATCATACCTGAGGATGGTGAGATGCCACCAATATCACAAAACCATTGTCAAGAACTTTTTCAAAGATATTTTTTCAGGATACATACCCAAGATGTTACTTCATACCGTTTCCTTGAAATATTTATTAATGTTCTTGCAGATCAACTAGTAAGATTATCATCAAGTACATTTTTCCGCGTAGAAACATTACGTGAGATGGTAGAAGATAAAAGTATTAGAAAAACTTTACTAGAAACATTATTAGATGTTTCAATTGATTTTGCAACTCGTTCTGTAGAATCTAAAGCAGAGCAATTAAAACATTTACCAGATGCAGAAAAAGCAAATTTGGGCACAATCAAACAATGGGAAGATTCGAATCATTTATTAGTATTTTTCATGTCACAAACACCTGATTCTATTTGTGCTCTTTATCGTGACAAAGAAAAGGTGCCAGATGATGTGGTAAACTTGTTAAAAAGTCAATATGTTGGGATTGGAAATCAGGCCAAAGGGAAAGCAATAGATATACTCGATAATTTTGATGAGATGCATCCAGATGAAATTCTGAAAAAATTAGAATGTTTAGCACGTACAACCCTTGATAAACGCGAATATCCACCTTACGCACTCTCTACTGACAACCTTTTAAAAATGGCGTTGATTCTTTTGCGAGCTCGTGCCAACGTTCCTGTAGTATGTTGTGGTGAGGCTGGATGTGGAAAGGTAAATTTAGTACTGTACATAAATAATCTTATACGTATAATGAGCTGTAATACTAATGCAATATTGTTGAATCAAAACATTTAAATGTATTTTTAGACAAGTTTGATTCAATTTTTATCGATTGTCGTGAACGTTGAATTTAGAGCTCTTAACTTGCACGCTGGTGTTAGAGAACAAGAAATACTAGATTTTATGTCTGAAGCAGAAAAAATTGCCGAAACTGGCCAAGTCTGGTTATTTTTTGATGAAATTAATACTTGCAATCATATCGGATTGCTTGCCGATCTAATAGCACATAGACAAATTCATGGTCAAACAATTCATCCTAATATAAGGCTTTTTTCTGCATGTAATCCATATCGTTTACGACAAAAAGGTGATACACAAGCAGGCCTTTCGGCAAAAAGATATGAAGAACAAAGTAAATTAGCCTACCAAGTTCATCCACTTCCTGATCAAATTATAGACTATGTTTGGGATTATGGTGTATTAAAACCATCCGATGAAAAAATTTATATCTATATAATGGTTAATAGGCATTTAGAAAAACAATCAAATTTATTCCCTGAATTATTAGCTGCTTCACAACAATTTACACGAGATCATGAAGGAGTACATAGCGTTAGTTTACGTGATGTTAAACGTGCTATAATTCTTGTTAAATACTTTTTAAACAGCTTAAAAAATCGACCACGACCTCAAAACCAAAGATACCAGGATTACCCTTCAAGACATGGACCGGAACCTATGGTTCTGTCGTTTATATTAGCATTAAGTCTTTGTTATCAAGTTCGAATTTATGATCAAGAATTGCGTGCACAATACTGTAAAAGAATGTGTGAAGTGTTTAATAGGTTTAAACCAAGATCGATCAAAACAGATATGACACCAGTGCTTTTTAAGAAAATTATTAGAGAGGAGCAAGAAAATTATATGACTAGAATGACAAAACCGGTATTTATCTAATCAATTATATAATAAATGGTAATATTGTAATATTCTTCTAATCAGTTATATCGAATTATTAAGCCACAAACTGCAGAAAACGAAGCTCTGCTTGAAAACGTGCTTACAATGATTGTTTCAATATTTACAAAGATACCACTATTTGTTGTTGGAGCACCAGGGTACGTTGTTATAATGAGAAAAATTTATTCAAATGTGTTGAAAACTATTTGAAATTTGAATAATCTTCCTCTTTAAAATTTAGAGCATCAAAATCTCTAGCAATTCGTTTGGTTAGTCAGAATCTTCGTGGTGCCGATTCTGATGATCCATATTTCAAAACATTACCACAAGTAGGAAAATGAAATCATATGTGTTTATATTTTATGGATTCAAATTAATATATTGTTTTGTTATGTTTAAGATTTATGTTATTCCCTACCAAGGTTCCTCATCATCTACTTCAGATGGAATAATAAAAGTTTTCCAAAAAGCAGAAAACTATCAAAAAACTAATTCAAAAGATTTCCCTTTAAATACTGTTGTTTTGCTTGATGAAGGTATCTAGTAATAATAAATGATAAATTTTATCTCGATGATTCTAAAATTTTTTTATTATCTTAGTTGGGTTGGCTGAAACCAGTCCCTATAATCCGTTGAAGGTTTTACATTCTTTACTTGAACCAAGTTATCCTCATGAGCTCCCAAATGTTTCTGTTATTGGTATAAGTAATTGGAGGTTAGATAATTCTAAATCAAGTAGAGCTTTATTAATTCAAAGGTTAGTAATTTAAAGTGAATCTATATATTTCACATTATATTTTATCATAGTTCATATTTAATCTTCTGTTATTTAGACCTAAATTTGAAGAAAAAGATTTAATTGATACGGCAGAGAGATTATTTGAAAAGAAAAAATGGCTAGTCTGGGATAATAGAACAACTAAGCTTAAATCTTTGGCAAGTTCTTATTTAAGATATGAAAAAAATCAATCAATTGAGAATTTCCATGGACTTCGTGATTATTATTCCCTAATTAAAAGTCTTAGCGATGGAGAGGTATTATTCATATATTAATTTTTTTTATTTATCTATTTAATATTTAGGATTAATATTTATAATTATATTTATATCTGCATTTGAATTAGCCTACAATAGAATCAACACAAATGGCACTGGCAAGAAATTTTGGAGGAATAAAACAAATGAATAACCAATATTTAACGCATTTTAAAGACGTTATAGATACTTTCCATGGATCAATATTATTCCATAATATAACGAACAACCTAAAACCAATATCTGTTGAGGAACTAATAAAGGCAAATCTTAAAGACAAAGATGCAAGGCATTTAATGATTATTGGGAAAAGTGATTCTATCGTTAATATCTTGACATATAAATTGAGACAATGGAGTAAGGAGTTCTCAAAGATAAAAGATAATACAGTTCAAGAGACTACAACTTGGGATTTAGAACCTGTAGTTATTTATGGAAGTCAATTTCCTGATGATTTTGATGGAGATTATCAATATGGTGTATTAAGTCGCATTATGGTAAGAATTTATAAAACTTTACGAATAATATTTTTAAAGTCCGTATAAATGTAATTATGATATTCTTAGATGTGTGTGGAAGCCGGAAGACCTTTAATTTTAACGGATCTTGAAATTATATATGGTATTTAAAAATCCCATTTCTTATCTAAAAGAACCATAATAGATATTAATATTGGCAAATTTTATAGGAAGTCTTTATGATTTATGGAATCAGAATTACATAACTGTTGGTAAAGAAGGTGATATAAAATATTACACACGCGTTGCGTTGGGTGCCTATTCAAATCCTATGGTTTGTGTCCATAATAACTTCCGCTGTATCTTGGTGCTTGATGAGAAAAAAGTATCACTTGCAGATCCTCCGCTCTTAAATCGATTTGAAAAACAAAATATGTCAATTAATGATACTTTAACTGATGACATGAAAGTATTAGTAAAGGAACTTTCTATATGGGTTGAACAAATATCGAGTATTAACGCAGAAGATGGTATGCCTAAATCTAGATTTAATGAGCATGACATGTTTGTTGGATTTGACGATGAAGAAACATTGCAGAGCTTGGTTATTTACAATAGCGGTAATTCTGACTCAGAAAATAAAGAAAGCATTTTGTCTAAGTGTAAAGAATTGTTAGTAGGCATTGCAACGTCAGATGGTATTGTAAGATCAAAGAAATCTATTTTGGCACATACAAATAGTGGAGAAGTTCAAAAATGGTATAATTTTTACTTCCATCAAAAACACGATGACCTTAACACATATATTCAATCATTGCTAGAAAATTACGATAAGACTGAAAGTAGTGACGATATTGAAAATGCTGAAAATAAAAAGCAAGGCTTCCAAATTATAATTAACACATTTTCCAATATCAATACTGATATTACTTCATGTCTAGGCAATATTGCCTGCCAGATTGACAAGATTTCAACATTCAAATCTGAAGCCCAACTACAAAATAGAATCAAACATTTCTGGCTAGAGTCGGATAATGAAATATTAATTCTACAGTGTGACCTAGCAACTGTTAATTCTGGATGCATTAAACTTGCAAAATTCATTATTGAACAATATAAACATGAATTTTTATCTTTAAATAAAACATCAGAAAATCCAAAACCGTTTAAACATGTCTGTATCATTCTTCACATGCGACGGGAAAACGATGCACCTACTATATCATCATTCAATTTCATGTGTGGTTGGGATTTAATTACAATCGAAACATTGTCTCCTCAACAACATCCTCTACACGTTTATTTGGATGGAAGCTTAATTGATATGCTTGAGACCACATATAAATTCGAAGAAATTATTAATCAAGAATTATTTTGGTGCTTGCTTTGCATGCGATTTCAGTCTTCCTCCGAATCTGTGGATTATATAAAGTAAGTTTTCTAGATTCTGTTGGATAGATAGAATAACACATTGATTTCAATTTTGCTCTTTTTTCCATCGATAGGTTGCTTTTCCAAAAAATTCCACATCACAAGACACTAATTGATTGTATAAAAATCCGATCACTTGAATGGCTACATAACAATGTGCCCGAAAGTTGGCAGTTGCAAATTGCAATGAATAAAACGAATCTATACTTATATTCATCATTTTCAGTCGCTCTTAAAACATATATCAATAATCTTGTTCGAAAACCAATTGCTAAATTTCTATGTGCTTTAGAAATGGCATCAGGTCTTTCAGTGCTTTTCAACAATAAATATATGGATTGTGATGATTTATACGATGATGAATATTATTCGGATAAAACTGCTTTACTCGAGTTCTGGAAAAATGGTTGTATGGATCCTAAAATTATTAATACAGAGAATATGCGGGAACCGCAGCCAGATGTATACCCTGTAAGAAATAAAAAGCTTTATGTGAAGTTTCCATTTTCAATATACTTTATGAGGCAGATTGATAAATTCAAGAGATTATATGAAGAAGATTTAGCAATGTTGGAAGAAGATGAAGAAAATATAGATACAGAAACAGGAGAACTCGAAACTTCTGTTATTGATGCTTGTACAGAAAGATTTTCTTCAAACATTATATCTGCAATTCCAATATTAAAATTGCCACAATTTTTTGAAATAGCAGAACCGTATTTCGAAGATTTTGTGGATTTTGTCTCACCAATATATGGAAATAATCCTAATAATAACTGTGTATTTTTATCATGGATTATTTCTCATCATATGGGTCAAAAAATACCAAATCCTATTAAACTTCATATGTATTGGTGGAAAAATGCCGAATTTGCACTAGCTGAATTACAACTGTCACTGTTGTGTCCGATAGTCATAGAGGAAATGCTTGACTTAGGATTTGATGAAAGCAGAGAATTGAATTTTGAAGAACACTTATTAGACCAAATTTCAAAGATGATGATAGGAAAACTTTATAAAATTGATATGAACAATGTTAAAAATGAACTTTTAGCTTGGCAACATGATGTTGTAAATATAATATCATTATCGACAAAATTGCCAAATTCCTTTGATAGTCCAGCAATGCATAGACTTCGAATATATAATGATCTTTCAAAATCTTTTGATTTGCCTCAGCTTTTAGAACTTCAAGAACTTGAAGACGAAAATAATGTGATTTCA